AATAATTATGTATAAGAAATAATTGTTTATCTCATGTAAAAAATTATCTCATCTCTTTATCGATTATACATTAATAACTTATAATGATTTACTTGTACATTAAGACATAAATTGTATATGTGTACACATGATATTTATTAAAAGAAAGATATTTTGGAATCATAATTTAAGATTTAATTTTGTTTCCCTAGGTCCTAAGGATACGATAGTATATTACAACGATGGTGAACCAAATGATAATCTTCAAGGTAAGTAATATTACATGATCATTCACGATTATATTAGATTAAGAGATTGCTGTATCTGAGAGTAATATATCCTTACATCATGTACATATTACCTATTGTAATTGATTGTACAAAACAAATGGCAAAAAAATACGAATAAATTGTTTCAGACTTTAAACCGTTTGATTTGGAATCTTGGTGGGGCAAACGATTGTTTAACAATATCACGAAGTCACTCTGAGATATTGAAAAAACTAAAATTCTTTTTCCGAAGACTTGTACTTGGAAGTAATTTGGCAGCTGATGTTACATGAATTAACCAATGCCGCGTTTATGAAGCGTGTGATTTAAATCTGATCGGGTCGAACAATTGGTAAGGTAGTATTAAATATAGATCTCGGAATTCAATACACATATATACCAAATCCAATCGAATTGTGGATTAAATTATCGCTCTCGTATCGAATTGTACGTAATACACGTATTACAATTACATCGCATCACATGTTACAAAGCACCGAGTCAATATATGAGCGAGCTTGAAATATACACGCGTAATGCGCAATAGTAGTTATAATCCAGTTAATAATCCAAATAGTTTAATAACGATTGTTTATATGCATTTGTTTGTTAATGAACTTTCTACAAAATATGGATTTCTTATCGTTGCTCCATTGTTAGATTTGCTCAATTTTAATAAGATGCAGAATATATTTGACGTTCATGTATGAGAGCTTTGAGATGCTGCAGCAGAACTTTTGGTAGACAATAAGTAGGTTTGGTAGACAATAACATATAAGATACGCAAATACAAAACCAGTCGTTAAAAGATCCTGAGTTCTGAGTAGATTTTAAACACGGTTAAAGAAACCGAAGAACCGAGGATGCGATCCGGTATGCAGTGCGTATGTATCAAGTAAAACTAACATAAGTATGAACAAAAGACCCAAAGCTGTGCGGTATGAATTCTGCGTGAGATTGGTGAATTTTTACCTTAGAATGTTGTATATATTGCATGCAATGATCGCGTGAATGCATGACCTAATGTTGCGGGTATTATTATGACGATCACGTCTGAATACACTTTTACATAAGCAAAGATTTAGTATAAATTTGTAGACTGATAATATGTAAGAGAATTGTCATTCTGTTACTCGTAGAGTCGCAGCTCGCGATCGCTGATATAATCTATTACCGAGCTCACTCATCGAATTGTTATATTATGGCAAGTTAAATTGTTTCTTCCTCGCGTCGTTACGTATCTGTTGGACTATTGTAATGGCTGTCGGATTAGCGACAATTTAAATGCCACAATATCACGCGTGTCTGACAACGCGCAGTTCGCAAAAGTAGTCGTGATGTAGTGCAATAAAATTCAGCCGTGCGCAGCTGAATTTTATACAATCATGAATAAATACCTCTTCATACATACAGCGATATTTCTTTTCAATTTGTGTTTCATTTTTATCATTGTTATATAAGTAAGTATTATTCGATGACACAAATATTGAAATGATTATAACTCGAGAAAAAGAGTATCGTACTCTAATTTAAGAGTGCTCGTTAATTATATACTATATCATGACAAATAGATTGATTTATCGTAATATCACAAATTGAATATACATATAAATTACATTTTATTACTTATCCTAATATAGTATATTATTAAATATTAAAATATAGCTATAATATAGCTATATAAATATAGCTATAAAGTTTATACTTTTATTATTTTAGTAAATACACAATCATATATAAAATAGATATATTTTTATTTAATGCAATAATGTTTTAAATTCACGACAATGCTATTTCGCGAATTTATTATTTCAGTATTCTTTAAATGTTGTTTGTTATATATTCCATAAATATGATACGTAAGCATTTCAGCCAATGAAAATCTTGTCGCAAGTCGCCATGTTGTTACGCAGACTTAAACTCACCACTTGAATCAATAAAAAAAAAATTGCTTTTCTATGGCAGTATATATATATATATATTGATGGTTTTGCTACATCACGCGTAGATATGTCAATTCTTAGATGGGAGTAAAATCACGTTTTGAGTTTACGAAGAAAAATGATGAAATGTCACATAATATGGAAGAACAAAATTCTCAGGTAATCTGATCAAATTTACTTGATCATTGATAACCTATTATATTTTGCAATTGTGTAAATACAATTATAAATATTAAAATTTTTATTTGATTTCTTATTTTATATGTGTATAAATTTTGAATTATAGATGGCAAAAGAAAATAGTATATATAATATAGGACCAGTAATACAATCTCGGAGTGGTCTATCATTTCTTACAGTTTTAACATTTTCATGCGAAGCCTTAATAGCATGTGCGAAACAACTCAATATAATGGACGAAGAATGTGGTGATGGAAATTATGGAAGTATACTTGCACATAGTGCCAATGCTATAAAATTAGCAATCAAGGTTGTACTGTATTATGAAATAATTGAAGTATAAATCTATTCGTTTTCAGTGAATATAATATCGTGTATATTGCAGGAAGGAAGAATTTCAACAACGAGACCTTTTCTAACATTTATGCAAATAAGCCAGATCATTGAAAAAGAAATGGGTGGCTTAGAAAGTGGAATCTACTCATTATTTTTTGATAGTGTCGCTAAAGTAAGAAATCAATCAATTATATAATATCTTTTAATCTTAATGCCGATAGAAGAAATCTTGAGAAATATTTCAGAATTTTCTTAGATTTCAAAGTGACGAGCAAATAACTGCCAACATGTGGTTGACTGTTCTAACATTTGCAAACAAAATGATATCTGAGGTTAGTGGAACATCGATTGATCATCGAACCATGTTGGATGCTTTAATACCTGCGGAAAATGCATTAAGAGATGCATTAAATCTTGGCTCCAGTCCTGTCGATGCTTTTGGAGAAGCTGTGAAAGCTGCTGAAATTTCAGCTATGCAAACTGTGCATATGTCTCGGTCTGTCAATTGTACAATTAATAAGGTATTTAATTATATTATTGTACATTAAATATTTACATTTAATTAATATTATTTAAATATTTGACATAATTCTGACACATGTGTTGTATAGACATTCAAATATCCAGATCCTGGAGCACATGCTGTTGGCATATGGATGAGAGCTGCTTATGAAGGTGTCAAATTAAAATTTGCTTGCTAATTGAAAAATGAAAAAGAAAGAAAAAAAATTTTGTTTTTAATTTTTCCTTAACATTCTCTATAGATTCCGATAAAATTATACTATATTATCCTATACTATACACACTATATTATTATATATATACTACACACACACACACACACACATATATATATATATATATATATATATATATAAAAATTGTAATTGATTATAATCTATCGAGTCATTTTGATATATATTCGGCACCTTTCAATTGGCAACCCGACATGCAAATATGTAAATTTAGTGTTCATATGTATGGTTGTTGTGTGGGCTGTGTGTGAACCAATGTCGAGATTAGCTATCATAATGTCACGTGTCTCTACCACGACTTCATTTTTGTTTTATCACGTGAAAAGGATGAAAAAAATTAACTTCGTCGTGAAATCTTGCTGAACGATTTACGAAGAAGAAGGTAACGGATGACAAAGTTACACTTGTAAGATATTTCGGCAGAGGTTATGTTTAAAATTTTCAATCTTATAAATTATATAAACTTTGTCTTGTAAACCAATAAATTGTAATTCTATAAATATTCAATCATATTTGTATCGATGATATTCCGTCTAATCCCTTCTAATGATATATATATTTGATAGAATATAATGATCCAAATTATTAAATGTTTTAAAAAGTTTTGTGTTGTAAATATATAACTTTGTTCATTTATTGTAAATATGCAGTTATATTATAAGTACATATTTATGGAAGATATATTTTAGGCTATTTTATCTACACAAATAATCTAGAACCATGCGAAAAGTTGCTTTAAATAATCTCTGGGTTTTTTCTCTGAGATAAATAACAAGGTTTCATAGAAATCTTTCCGAAAGCAATGAATGCTGCAATCGCACTGTGTACTTTTTGTGAAATGCATGGACCTAAAGTGATATTTACCACACAAACGTACCGTAATTATGATACACAAAACACAGAAAAATTAAAATTTTATGGACCTAAAGAAGTGTTAAGACAATGTCATATTTCCTTGGAAGATGGATCGGATGAATGTGAAGGCTGTCAAAGTATTGGGAATGTTAAATATTTAAGTAATGAGCATGAAACAAGAACATCATTTTTGTCTGCTCAGCAATCATTAATGCAGGATATTGGAAATCTTCTCAAATATGCATGTATTAGGTATGATTTTTGAATTTTACAAATTTTTTTATTTGTGAATTTTATACTAAATTGTATTTTATACTATATTTTGTGAATTGTTTGAATTAGTGTAAATTTATCTTATTAATAATAAGTCATGTTGATTTAATTTTATTCAAGAGATTAAAGTTTGTTATATTTAAAAATTGTAAAAACAAGATTCATAATATGTAAAATTTAATTTCTTAAAACTTTATTATTATTATTGTTGTTGTTGTTGTTATTGTTGTTGTTGTTGTTGTTGTTGTTATTGTGAATTTCTTTTTTTCAAGGAGCTTAAGTTGTGAGGTACACCCTGGTAAAGAAGGTGTTTGCTACTTTGGAGATGAATACAGGGGGCATGTTTTAAGTCATACTTTTACATTGAAAGATGCCCAGGTGAATTATGCAACGAAAAAGCATGTTTGGTAGTTATTACAACAAATTTTTCAAATCATGCCATTATTAAAATTGTTAGAATCTAAAGAATCTTTGTCATAATTTTGTTCCATTATTTTCATTTATTGATACATTTATAGAATGGTATATTTATTTTTTTTACAGGCAAGAGGATTTAGAAGATGGTGCAGTTTTATAGTTTTTATGAGAGACAAACAATTCTTGTTGAACATGTGGCCATTTTTAATTGACAACTTAAAAGAGGTAATTAGAGAACTGCAAGATTTGGCGGAGAGAAGATATAATGCGGAAGAAGCAGAGTGTCCGCAAAGGGCAATGAGATTAACAACAGCAAATAGTGGAGCGAGTTGTCACAGTATTTCTATTAAACAATCTAGAACACTTACCGATATAACAAATGAGAAACATGTTTTTGTAAGGTAAATGTTACATTAATTCCACATATAAAATATTGTATATGATTACCTATTACAATTATTAAAATCGTATTTATTAATCATTTTGCATATACATATTTTAGGATTCATATGTGGTTAGTATGGATCCTCAGCGCTGGTGCTAGGCACTTTATAGAAATTTTTCCAATGAGTTTATTAGATGACGAACTTAATTATAATTTTGAACATCAAATTGGTTAGCAATTACAAGCATTTCTCTATCTATGATAACAATCGATGTTAAAATATATATATATATATATTATTTTTTTTTTCTAACAAAAGCCATAATGTATGTCATAAATAATTTACAGAAACTGAAGAAGGTTTTACTTTAGTGAATGCAAAATTGCCGGTAAACTTTAATTTTAACTGGAACGATTCTGAGCTTTTGCCAGAATTTTCTGAAATCGCAGAAAAATCAACCGCTGTAATTTTACGAAATCTAAAACGGATACTTGGGAAAGATCAGTTTAAACAGTTGCTATATTCTTGTTTAATCGGTGTTCAAGTTTTGGTAAGAGGTCCAAAGATTCAAAGATTAGAATCTTTGTACGGTCTTAGCAGTCTTGTTCCAAGAGCATGTCGACGAATAAAAACGCAAACATTAGAATATATGGATCCTGATACATGTAACTTTATCGGTATCTATACATGACTACAAATAATCAATTTTTTCAAATAAATTTATTATTTATTAATTATATTTTAAAATTTCCAGGTGTAGACACTTCGGTAGCAGTTCCTTTACCTTGTGCAAGTGTATGCAGGCTAGACATAATACTTAATGAACATAAAGTTGGAAATACCAAATCTCATATCGTTAAATGGACTGGCATTTTACCAACAAAACTTCCGACCTTACTAATAAAGATTGAAAAATTACTCGACAATGAGAAACTCGGAAATTCAGTTTTTAAAGCACATTTTGCGACTCTTCAGGAAGAATGGGCCAAGTACGAATTATCATTTATATTATACAGAATATCTTGCTTTCATCAAATTGATTTTAAATATTACACATTTTGTTCGTGGCCACATTTAAATTATTTTTAATTTTATACATATACACTTTACATATCGTCATTTTAAATCACACGCACGCGCACGCACACAATACTATATTTAATATATAAATTAAATATATATATTTTCATTGTTATGCAGCATTGCGAAAGTTGTTCACGCGATGCGTGGACGAGGTCATCGCGGTGATCTCTCTGGACTTATGCTTAGTTTGGGCGCTGGACCTCAGGATAAAAAATTGCTGGATGCATGGTCTATGGGATTACCGTCTAACCCGGCATAATTTATAAACATTATATTGTTTTTATCACATATGATGTAGTATATTATTGGCTGTAATGTAATATTTATTGCAGATTACGTATATGTATTTTATCAATTCTTCGCATTTGCGAGGGAAATACTGTGTGTTCAAGGTTGTATTTTTTTTTTATTTATAATTTAGTCAAAAAATAAAAATACGAGAACTAAACATCTCGATGGACTAATTCATTTAACGTAAACATCAATGATGGATATTTTTTTTATATTTGTTACATTTTCTTTAGATTGGATAAGTAAAATGAATGACAAATAAAACTTGGTAGTAATTTTTATAACCATATATACACACACGCACACGCATACACAATAAATATTAGCATAAATTTCTAACTTGTATAATATGTTTGCAATTTATTTATATTAAAAGATATATTTGCAATTATCAGGTAAGAGAATAATTGTGAGCATAATATAGACTGTGAATGCGAATTCGCATGTTTCAAACTTGCACAAATCTTTAGGTTTTTCAATTCATTTATATTAAGTTTATAATATGATGTAAAATTTTTCAATTATATTTAATGAATCTATGCATGCATTATACCACGAAATATTATTGATAATATTAAGCTCTATATGAACGCAAGAAGAACGATTATGAATTTAAAATACAATCTCATGTATATGAAATGAAGTGAAACGGAAAAAAGGTATAAAGGAAAATAACCGATCGGAGAATGTTTTTCTTTTATTCCAATTCTGTTTCGATTTTAAATAACCAGATTTTTCATGGTATAAATACATTTTACAGAAGAAAAGTACAAGTCTAACCTCAAATTTTTAACAGTTTTTATCAATTTATTAGGATTATATCAAAATTGTATATAAAACTTTTGACTTTTATGTATTCTTACAAGACTGGTTCTATACAAACTAAAATATCAATAAAAAATGATTATTTTTTTCTTTTTGCACTCTATTAGTGTTAAATAATATTAGAACGAAATATATTCTTCTTCCTACTTTTCTTCCTTTTTTCAACTTTGCTTTTTTATTTATATGAAATTATACTTTTATTAAAAATAATTGTCATCTCAAGTTAACTTGACTCATTTTTATTTTTTAGAGTTAGCAATCTAAGTACTTATGTACAAGTTCATGGCTGTGACACGTGGCTTCTTTCAGCTTGGTATTTAAATTCGTATGCACAGCTGACGAGTGTGCAGTAGTTGATAAAACAACGGATGTTGCATACGGAGAGAAAGTTATATGGATAAACGTTAACGTCAATTATGTACACCATTACCTGCATTGCACCAGTCAATATCGCAGTTATTAAATACTGTATGTATTTACACAGTCAAAGCTTTATTACAACTATAATCAATAAGAACTTGAAATATTGTATAGTTTTATCTCTTAAAAGAATTTTTAATAAAGGAATTTTCTAAATTATATTTCATATATATGGTATGAAATTGTATTTTGAAACTTTGATCTACATTATCTAATATAAATGTATGCATAAAATTGCAAAGTTTTATTACCTAATAAATTTAATAATAAGCTTTCCGGACATAAAAAAAAAGATATTGTTCATAATTTGCGATTAATGTATTATCAAATTCTTTTTTAAAAATTGCTTGATTCATTGAAATAATGTAAAAATGCAAATCATTTATAATCTACTAATAAATTCCATCACATACATGTGCATACATGTTTTTAAATGTTTGAATACATTTCGTAGCCTTCGCAATTCATATCACACGGAAATATTTGAATTTGAATGGCTGTCGACAAGAAACGTAGATATATTACAATGGATGTATTCTTTGTACAACTGCTCTTTACCCTCATATCTGTTTTACAAAATAAGATTAACTTTTTAGAGTTACATGTTTTTAGGGGGGAAAAGAGACGAATCCTTAATTTTACCAACCAATGACTCCATAAGTATCACTTTAGATACAGATCAGGTAAATTTTTACTTCTAAATGAACAAAAGAGCGACAAAGTGCAAATATATTAGAGGTATCTTGGAATATTAAAACTATAAAATCTTCATGTCTTTTTTTAAAGCTGCATGCAAAAACTACTGTTAAAATCAGTCCTGACTTCAAAGAAGATTGTATTTGGCTGAATGGACGGTATGTGTATTGAGAAAATATATTTTCATTATTACTTTATTTATAGTATAATAACATAACTGACATACTTTCAGAAAAGAAGATATACAAAATATAAGATTGCAAAATTGTTTAAAAGAAAGTAAGTTAGTATATGGAAACTTATTCAAAATATATATAATTTAAATTAAATCAAGATTTTTTTCTTTAGTTAAAAAACGTTCACAGTTACCTGATTACACAAACAATTGGAAAGTTCATATATGTTCAAAGAATAATTTTCCAACCGCTGCTGGTTTAGCTTCCAGTGCTGCAGGATATGCGTGTCTTACAGCAGCACTAGCCAAACTTTACAAAGTAGAAGTATGATAATTTATTTTTTTCCCGTTTAAATCATTTAATACATTTTAAAATTGTTATATTGTCAAAATATATATCTTTGCAGGGAGATATTAGTGTCATAGCTCGTTCCGGTTCTGGATCAGCATGTCGCAGTGTTATGGGCGGTTTTGTGAGATGGCATATGGGCTCAGACAAGAATGGAACAGACAGTTTAGCAAAACAAATAGCACCAGCATCTCATTGGCCTGAAATGAGGATTCTAGTGCTAGTAGTAAGAAACATCTTGTCTTTCCATGTTTATTGAATGATAAAGATAACAATACTTAGAAAAAAAATAATTCTTTTAGGTTAGCGATGAACAAAAAAAGTTCCAAGTGCAATAGGTATGAAACGAAGTATAGAAACATCTGAACTTCTACAACATAGAATAACATATACAGTTCCAAAAAGAGCTAATAAAATGCAACAGGCAATCATTGAGAAGGATTTCAAAAGTTTTGCTGAACTCACTATGAAGGATTCTAATCAGTTTCATGCTGTATGTCTTGATACATATCCTCCATGTATTTATATGAATAGCATTTCTAACGCTATCATGAGTCTCATACATTCTTATAATGATGCAGTTAACGATGTAAAAGTAAGTAAAATAGTTTTTTTTCATAAATTAAGGTTAAAAAATAGCTAGACTTATTTTATTGATAAGAAATATTGCTAGGTTGCCTATACTTATGACGCTGGCCCAAATGCTACATTATATTTATTAGAGAAAGATATACCAGAAGTAGTGGGCATTCTTGATCACTTTTTTCCTCCTCCTGAAAATATTGTAAACGTTGAATACAAAAGAGGATTACCTATTGAAGGGATCAAACCTTTGCAAGTATGTATTATTAATAAGTATGTATTATTCTTATATCCAGAATATTAATCCATTAGTTAAATGTGTATGTACATGTGCACATGCACAGTGGATTACTCTATGTTATAAATATTATTTTGTATAGAATCTTTTGAAGAAACTAAAGTTTCAAAAGAATCCACCAGGACAGCTTAAATATATGATACATACTAAAGTGGGAAATGGGCCTAAATATCTCAATGATCCGCAGGATCATTTATTAGATGATCATGGTAATCCTATTAATTGTGTATCCATTCTTGATCAATGACATTTTATTTATTTTATTTATTTTATTATTTACTATTCCAAATATATATAAAAATAAATAACTTTTAACTTCATCAATCTTGTTATTTTCACTTTTCCTTTCCTTCTATATTCTTAAAAATGTAATCACAATAATATTCTTCACTTATGTCATTTATTCGCATGTATAATATAATCTAATATAATCTTTGGGATTATCACACGCAAAATGGCATAGCTGTAAATGTATAAGTATAAGCTGGATGCTTCGTCCTTTATATACTAGCCTGTGTGACTCAGCGGTCATTTTTATTAAAAGGAGAAGAAGAAGAAAGAACCTTTTAAAGATCCTTAAACTAGCATTTTAACCTCATTTAATCTTTATATGTGATCGAATTTTAGTTGAGGATACAATACATAAAGCAAAATTAATCGCTTCTTGGCTTATACCTAGAGACAAAATAAAAATTTTCTCCTGTCTCTAGATTTTATTGTAAAATATTACCTAAATATTAACTAATTTATAAAGTAGAATTAAGATTGTCCTTGTATAATTTGTACTTGTAAATACATTTTTTCAAAATATGTGACGAAGCAACATTTCAATTATGCATAGATCATTCTAAAATACTAATCATGTGCATAATATGTGATTATAACTGCAAATTATGATTATGTATTTAATCTGTAGTTAGATATCATATTTGATATACAAAAATAAAATGATTTATAAAAAATGAAGTCATTTATAATATTTAATTACGTACCTGTT